TTTTGTTTCACTCCTGTACTACTAATATAGACTGAAGGCCCATTGTATTCGTTTCACTCCTGTACTACTAATATAGACTGAAGGCCCATTGTTTTTGTTTTACTCCTGTACTACTAATAGAGACTGAAGGCCCATTGTTTTTGTTTCTTGCCTGTACTTTTAACATCCTTGATTGTAAATCACCTTCTCAATGATCTACATATAACACTGGATTTTATGAGTTGTAAATTGGATTTTCTACCATTTAGATTTATCGCTAGGTTTTATGAGCCATAATTGTAAATCTCATGCATGAAATATTTAAGTAAAGACCTACACAGAGGCTATATTTCATTAGTGTATGTATAAGTTCTTGTTGGTGCGTGTTAGAGAAGTAAAAGGCAGTTATTTTTGGTTTGTTTTCAGGTTGATCAAATAGTGAAGGAACATATCAATGGTGATGGAAAAAAGCAAGCTACTGAAACAATTACATTGGGATGGAGTGGCAGACTCTATTTCAATCCTGGATTGTTTAAGTAATTATCATCCAGTAAACCTAATATAAACTGACATTAAAACATCAACCCGTATTGATCCTGTTATTAAATATAGATCTAAACTTATCCCCTGGGGGGCACAATTGTAAGAATAAGATCTTATGAAACTAGAATTGGAGGGTGTGATCTCTGTGGCAGCTGTAGTGGTAAGACACAAAACAAAATAAGCTCTTGTGGTTATTAATAAGAGTAAGTTTTTACTTATACAAATAAAATTACATGCTGTATATACATCTTGCAGACAAAGTAACCCAAACAAACCCACAAATACACGGAGCACTAAGTATTTTACTCCTTTAATTGAAGACGAAGTAACCCATAATTAAAGGAGTAAAATACTTAGTGCTCCGTGTATTTGTGGGTTTGTTAACCTTTGTGCTTTCACTGTATCTTGAAATATATAAATGTTTATAATGAGCAAAAACATATATGTCCTGTATAAAACTTTATTTTTATGGAAACAAAAGAGCCATGATTAATCAGAAAATATTATTGGTTCTTCAAGAAATTCATGGAAGTCTACTGAATTGTCTCAGTAATTTCCACATATCACACACAGATGCAGTAAAATGGTGATTTATGCACTTATGTCAAAAAAAAAAGGAATTTAAACCTTGAGAAAGTATTGTGATTACACATTTTGATGTATATATTTAACATATCGATTTAAAACATCAGTTTTTAAAGTTCGTGAATCTTGCTGTTGATTGCTTTAATCTGACATATTTGTGTTGCTTCCGAGACAAAGCCAACGGCAGCTCATCTTTGAATTTCTCTTTTACTGCATGCAGTGTAATTGTTTTTCATCTGTCAAAATAAATACTGTAAAGTTAAATTGTAAAAAGGCATACAAACCCAGGCCATATATGTATACATACAATTAATATATTTTTAAATACTTTTTAAAGTGTAGACATCTTGTAGTTTGAACACACAACATACTAACATTATTAGAAATCACATAAACCTTTATTTAGAACAAAATGAATTATTTTACTACCAATTAAGTATGCCAACTTAACTTGAGTGACTTGCGATTGCTTTAGTTTGGTACTAGATAAAAATTAATTTTTAACTCCCCGGTATTAAGTTATTGACATACGTGTAGACCCATGGCCATAACCCAATACAGTGATTTTGCTCTTGTGATGATTAGAAATTTGCTTGTATGAACTGTTTTTCTTACTTTCTCTAGTCTATTACATTTACCTGTTAATATATAAAAATATTTTTAGTTGTGAATAAGATTTGGTAGATTAATGCAAGAAGGCAGTGAAAGTGATGCTATTGGCTGAAAATATGTTACTTCAAATAAGTTTGTATTGGTAATTTCTGCATTTAAATTTCATAAAAATATTAATACTCATTGTTCTTGTTATTTTATTTCAGAAATATCCTTGTATATATACTTTAAATGTGTAAGGCTTTAGTAACTTCCCAAATTTATTTTTCTGTAAGACTTAAATTATAGAAAATTTTTAATATTCAGTTTCTGAACATTTAAAGTGTAAGGCTTTAGTAACTTCCCGACTTTTATTTCTGTAAGACTTAAATTATAGAAAATTTAATATTCAGTTTCAGAACATTTTTAAATGTGTAAGGCTTTAGTAACTTCCCGACTTTTATTTTTCTGTAAGACTTAAATTATAGAAAATTTTTAATATTCAGTTTCAGAACATTTTTAAATGTGTAAGACTTTAGTAACTTCCCGACTTTTGTATTTCTATAAGACTTGAATTATAGAATATTTTTAATATTCAGTTTCAGAACATTTTCAACTTTGTGTAAATATAAACCTTCTAGTTCCCTATGAATCTGAATTATTCAGATATGGGGAAAGAAATTATAGCACACCATACCAAAAATACTGTTTTCTTGGATAATAAAAGGATACTAGGTGTTATTTACATCTTTATGTCATGTATATTGTGATTTTCAACTTAAATAATTATTATTATATATTTCATTATCTAACCAGCTTTTAACATTACTAGATTATGGCAAGTCATATTTAAGCACAATAGTATTGTTGTGAATCTTTTAAACTGATTTATAGAAATGTAGCATTTAGTGGGAATCCTGAAGGACTGTGATTAGTGCAAGAAAGTAATATCATAGTAAAAACATTTACTTCTAATTAAGCAATATAATTATGTAAAATAGTAAATGTTTGAGGAAGATTGATATGTAGGTACGTTCGTTTAAAATGTTTGCTGCAACATTGAAATTTATCTGTTGTTTTCTTTAAAAAGAATTAAATCTATTATATTGTGACTTATTATTTTGTTAGATGTGGTAAATATGAGCTGTTAATGGTAAGATAACATAATGGGAAAACAGTTTCAAGATAGTGTTTTCCTAGGATATGTAATATTTCTTATTATAGTATTTTTGTGATACTTTTATATGTAGGAAAACAAAGGTTTTAAAAACTCTTGGCATCAAATGCATACTAACTGTTTGTGATACGGCCTTTCAGAAGAAAGTTTTGTTTGGTATAAAAAAATCACACACACGTGAATCTGTGTAATTACAAAGTTCCTTTGTATTTTAATAAAAACTATGTTTAATAGTAGATATTGAGATGTTTTGTTGAATTAAAACAGACCATTACACTTTACATCTCGATAATTTAATAGAAATCTTTATTCTATGGTCCGACCAATTTCTCCAATGCAAGTATTGCCACATGTACACGATACTTCATAGATCAGTTTTTTGGTTTAGATTTGTTGTTTGGTTATTTCAAAGACATTTTCCTGATTTGAAATAAACTTTAAACATTAAATATTCGACAAATCCTTTTAAGTTTTTCGCTTTACGTTATGTACATCAATGACCTATGGACATCCACTCTCAACAAACTCTGCAGATAAAATTATGACATACCAGTTTTGCAGACAACACCCACCAATCACTACACTTGCTTTACCTCACAGCCTGAGCTTTACCACTAGGCCACACTTACCATTTATAAGACTTTACATAAGTTCCTACAGTGACCCGAAGAAGGCCTCAGTACTGAAGGCACAACATCATCCTGTTTTCACACAACGGGCAGTTGCAGTCCATTAAAGTTCTCAAACCCGGATATCAGCCATTGTCATTATTAGTAGCCTATGTGATCACACAAGCCTATTTATAAACTGCTTACTTTTTTTATTATTATTACTAGATAGTAATAACTAACTAGTTTTTATCCTAGTTTTGAGTGTTAATGTGTTGCCATCTTCAGGGAAGTCCTGAGAAGAGCTGTTTCAGTGGTTGTAATGGCTGGGATTTGGTAAGGAACTTTCTTTATAGAGGCTGGTGTGCTATCCACTGACCTAGGACCACTAAAAGAAGATAAAAACGCTACTAGTCTGACACACCCAGATAAGTTGGCTTTGGCTGAACATAACTACAAAACAGGACATATCATAAACTAGGATCAACATAGAATTTTAGACAAAGCTCACCACTGGAAAGAAAGAAAAAAATCAAAGAAGCTATTTACATCAAACTTCACCAACCTGAACTCAACAGAGACAGTGGCACGTACATCAACGACCTACTTACATCCACTATCAACAAACTCTGCAGATAAAATGATGTCACAGTTCCATGGACAACACCTACCAATCACCACAGCCTGAGCTTCACCACTAGGCCATGCTTACCATTTATAAGACTCTACGCAAGTTCCTACAGTGACCTGAAGAAGGCCTCAGTATAGAACCTGAAACATTGTCCTGTTTTCACTTAACAGGCAGTTGCAGTCCATTAAAGTTCTCAAACCTACTGTGTCTACTCTGCCTAAGGCTGATATCCAGTTGCTACAGTCTTACTATTAGATTTAGTTGTTTTCAGTGCATCACCAGCACTTAAAACTAATTATTTTGATTTTTTTTCCTTTTTTTTTTTGAACTTGGCATGGCCTTTTGGTTAGAACACTCCACTTAATCAGGGGGTTGCATGGTTGAAACTTGTCTCCCAACATGCTGTACCTTTGAATTGTAGGGGTGTTATAATTTGATGACCAGTCCCAGGTAAAAAGGTAGCCCAAGAGATAGTGGATGGCACTGACTAGCTTTCTCCCCTCTATCACTTCAAAATTAAGGTTGGCTAAAACAGATAGCCCTACTAGTATGGTTTTGCAGAAAATTCAACAAAACGAACATTTTAGTGTACCTCTCTTTCTTGATATTTGGAAAATATTTAGGACTACAGAGATTAAAAATGTTAATTGAAGACACTATTACCTGTTTTCTTTTCAAAAGTTAGACCTTTCAACAGTAGGCCCCAGTGAAAAATCATTTTACTTAATTGCAGACTGCACTTTCTCCTTTATTTGAATTTATAAGTATGAATGTAATGATTAACTATAAATATTTTAAATGCAGGATGACGATAAGACCAGTTGATCATCAATTAACCATCGTTATGATGAGTAATTTTGACTGAACTCTACATGAACTTGAACTTTACATTTACATGGAATGTAAAACAAGTTTAATAAGTATATATTAACATTAGTCCTTAATACTTGAGAAGCAAGATCCAGAAAGCCTTTCTAAGTTTTAAAAAATTAATTGCTTTTAAATTACTAGATGTCTTGGACCACAAGTTAACCCCTCGAAATTTGACTGATTTTTGGTCAAAAGAAGTAATGTATTTATATAGGTAGGCTAAAGTCATTTGAAGTAGCTAGCACGTTATGCGTTATGCGACTTGGAATTTTATTAAACAATTTTTAAAAGCAAAAATAAGTTAGGTGTATTGCTATTCATATAAAAGTCATTATGTTT